TTGGATTTGAAAATATCGGATTTGTGCCGTTCACACTGTCACACCATGATGGGATATAAGGAAAATACCAATAAAATAAAAAATAAATAAATAAATGTTCCCTTTAGAATTTTTTTGCTCTAAAGAAAATAGTTGTTTTCTTTTACAATCATACATCATGTCATACAGTGAAAGAAAGTGGTTGAATTTTTACTCTTTTATCTTTGTCTTCTTCAACTGAACAACTTAAAAAGTGTTATCTGACCTCGCCTGAAGCAACAAGTCAAATCAGCCACGCCAGCAGCCTCAGAGAACAACACCAAGGAGGAGACCTCATCAAAAGTATAGCTGTTGTATGAAGGCTTGTGTGTTCTCTCACCACAAATTATTGAAATATTAAATACTAAAAATGACAACTTTGTTTGCTCAAAAGCTCCCAGTCAAAGTGGATGCTGTATAACAGAGTTACAACTTATGTGGATGCAAAATGCCCTGCTGCTTATTAAAAAAAAAAGTTTAAGTTGGCTGGAAGATAACTTCTCTCATCTGAACTGACAGCAGCATAGTGATGAGAAACTATCGGTTGATGTCAGCAGACAAAAGAAACACATCACCAAGAAAACGGCGTGAGTTCGATCAACTAATTTAAAAAGTGAAACTGAAGATACAGGTTAGAGGAAGCAGAATATTACCAGGAAAAGTATTTACTGGTATGTGCGAGTTATAGAAAAAAGGATTTTAACAGTATTTGACATAATTGGAGATGGACCCTCTGTCTCTCATACTGGGCCTCCCCAGCTGGCGATTAATATCCAAGAATAATAGGAGATTGTACTGTGTTCTCACCTATGTGGCGAGGAAGAATATACCACTCCAATGGATTTATGAAAAAGCACCAACTATTAAAGGTTGGCAAAGAGTAGTGTTGGATCTAGTGCCATTGGAATATCTTACATGTGTACTGCACTCAAAAACAGATCAATTCTTTAAGGTGTTTGAACCATACTTGAATTATGTGGAACCTGATGTTTCCAATATTATGTTACAAGGATTCTCTTGAGTGTTCAAACTGCAGCGTACTACTGGGACCACAGGTATTGTACTGTA